TAGCCCATCTGAGCCTCAGTTTCCTCACCTCTATAATGGCAGAAAGAGGACCGCCAGACACAGGTGTTATTGCGGGAATCAGCTGAGATGAGGCTGCAGGAACCTGGCATGTGATAAGGGTCCAACGAGTGTTACACTTTTTAGCTTATTATTCCATATGAATCTGTAGTGTCTCTACTGTCCTCTCCCCTTGCCAGCAATCCCCTTCCATCTGCTCATTCTTCTCCATCTTCTCCAGCCAAATCCCACATCCAGGAAAGCAGTCTCTGCGGTAAGCAAGGAATCGTCAGGCTAGAACGCAGGCAGAGGAGGAGGAACAGTGCACTCACAGCTGGAGTGCTCACACCCAGTTCCAGCTCCGTTTAATCTGTTGCCATGACGACTCATAGCTTACCCACCTCTGTGGGGCAAAATGACTTCCTCCAGCCTTGGGGAGCTCTGGATGTGAACGGTCATTTTACCAAGGCCCCAGGAGATGGCAGGGCTCCATGCCCACCCCCATCCCAACCACCACATTTTCATTTCAGCATAAACTGAGGGCTTCTCCAGCATGAGGACTTAGCTGCATTTCACTTTAAAGCCCCAGCACCTAACACGGTGCCTGGCATACAGGAGGAACTTGAGAAATGCTGGTTGAATGAATAAATAAATGTGTAAATCTGATTCTCTTGAGTCTCGTCATCAAAAATGAGCTTTGTTTAGGAGAGGTAAAATGAAATTAGGATGCCAGGTGTCTGTCATTTGATATCTTTCCCACCCATCCCCTTTGGGCAAACTGCATTCCAGCCTCTTTCGATGGCATTTATTCACCTTGGCATCAACACATTTATACATGGGAAAGCCCAGGGCATGCAGATACAACTCCCCAGCCCCCCAAAGTTTTGAAGTAGTATTGTCTCGACAAATTTGTTCATCTAAACTCTTCCAAACCAGAGTGTTATTAATATAGCAAACTCTAGACACTGTGAAAATGAACCTTTCCTTTGCAGGCACTTGCTTCCCCCATCCGGGAATTTTTCATGTCTCATCAAGTCCCATCCTCCCCTCTCTTGAGGACCGACTCTCTCTAGCAAGAGATGGAATTGATGAAACTCAGATCTACTCAGTATTGCAACTGATTAGCAAATCTCATATCAAAAACAGAGATGAGGGGCCGGCCCCGTGGCCGATAGGTTAAGTTCGCGCACACCGCTTTGGCGGCCCGGGGTTTCGCTGGTTCGGATCCTGGGCGCCAACATGGCACTGCTCGCATCAGGCCACGTTGAGGCAGTGTCCCACATGCCACAACTAGAAGGACCCACAACTAAAATATACAACTTATGTGCTGGGGCGATTCGGGGAGAAAAAGCAGAAAAAAGAAGAAGATTGGCAACAGTTGTTAGCTCAGGTGCCAATCTTTAAAAAAAAAAGAAAAAGAGATGAGAACTCATGGCTCAGAAGTTTTTAAAAAAATTATCTGAGAGATTAATATATCTATTCTGTCTTCCATTACTAGACAATTGTGAGATAATAAAAAATGTATATATTGGTCTCTGCCCCTGGTTCCTGGCACAGAGCTCCTAAAACCTTTGTAATTTCCTAAGTGATAAGAGAACCAGGTGCATCTCTTGTCCTAATATGTGTCTTTGACCCAGTCCCGGACATAGTGCTTGTAAATTCCTTGTAAATTCCTAAGTGATAAGAGCACTAGGAGCATGTTTTGTTCTAATGAAGCGACTCTGGGTGGGTTCCTGGATAGGGGTTGTCACCAGAAAGACCAGGCCATGATTAGAAGCTTGGAATTTTCAGCCCGTCCTCCAGAGAGCGGAGAGGGGCTGGAAATGGAGTTAAGAATTGATCATGCCTATGCAATGGGGTCTTAGAATCATTTCAACAATTGAGTTTGGTTAATGAGGCCTGTGCTTAAGAAGTAACATTTGTTCATTCATTAACCAAATATTCATTGAGTACTTACTATCACCAGGCAGGCCCGTCTTCATGGGCCTGCAACCTGGATGGTCCCACAGGGAGGGCCCGGCACTCAGAAGGGCCCCATGCTTGAGGTTTAATGCTCTCCTGTCACCATCTTGAAATTCTTAACAACTTTATCTTTGAACTTGTGTTTTGTAAGTGAAGTCCAATGGAACGCATGTGCACGAGCAGAGAAGATAATAAGCACGATATGTGTACAGCGGCGAACTTTCCTCATTCACTGGTTTCTGATGCTGGGATTCTCTGTTAGTTAGCCAGCACAATATTTTCTTTTGCTCTGTAATTTGGATTTCAAAGCTATGAAGAGAAGCAGTGCACCCAGTTGCTTCCAGCTTCGCCACTCCCTGTTGGCATATACTTGGCCACATCACACATTTCTTACTTGTCTGTTTTTTCCCTGGGCTTTATTCACTTGTTCCTTCAACAAGGCTGGGTTGAGAGCTGGCTTTGGTTCCTGTCCTGCCTGCTCAGTTCCGTTGCATGAAGGAGGTGACTCCTTTATTCAAATCCAATATGAAAAACTTATTCGATGTAACAAAAATATTTATAAAACATCCTTCTATTGCCTAGCACCCTGCTTGGAGCTAAGAGAAGGCGAAGGGGTGTAAATCAGATGTAGTCCCTGCCTAGATGAGCTTATGACCTAAGAGGAGAAACAAAATAGACAAACTGTTAAAAAGTGCAGCTTCAGGGGCCAGCCTGGTGGCGTAGTCATTAAGTTCGTGTGCTCCGCTTCGGCAGCCTGGGGTTTGCAGACCTGGATTCCAGGTACAGACAAGCACCACTCGTCAAGCCATGCTGTGGCAGCATCCTACAGAAAATAGAGGGAGATTGGCAACAGATGTTAGCTCAGGGCCAATCTTCCTCACACACACAGAAAAGTGTGGCTTCATATGATGACCAAGTATTTTAAAAGCAAAACTGACTGCAGTTACTCAAAAGTTACCTCTAAGGCAAAGGGGCAAGGGCAGAGACAGTGGGAGACATAATTTATATCCATGGGTAAATTAAATCTTTATACTACTCGCTCCTCCCCCTTAAAACACAGGTAGGAGAGGGAGTAAGACCTAAGGTGGGTGCTGACTGTTCTAGCAGACAGCGTCAATGACTCTAGCCACCAGAGATATTCCCTGAGTCATTTGGGAGACAGGAATGAAAGTCACCCCCCAAGGGAAAGGGGACAGAGGAGATGGCCAAATACAGGCACAGCAATGGAAAGACTTTTATTTTTTTTTTTCCAAAGCTTGGCACCTGGGCTAACAACTGTTGCCAATCTTCCTTTTTTTTTTTTTTTCCAAAGATTGGCACCTGGGCTAACAACTGTTGCCAATCTTTTTTTTTTTTTCTGCTTTATCTCCCCTGTACACAGTTGTATATCTTAGTTGCACGTCCTTCTAGTTGTGGGATATGGCACGCCACCTCAACGTGGCCTGACGAGCAGTGCCATGTCCGCGCCCAGGATCCGAACCCTGGGACGCCGCAGTGGAGTGCGCGAACTTAACCACTCGGCCACGGAGCCGGCCCCCTGGAAAGACTTTTAAAGACAGTGATGTCTAACATTCAGTATTAAGTTGTTGGCACTGCTGGGTGTTGAAGGCCCCTTCTTTGCCAGTAAATCTTCAATAGAATAAAACAGTGCCCCACAGACAAAGACCCTGTGTCCCGAGTGGGGCTTCTTCACCATGAAGAATCACATTCATTTTTACATCTCCCAGTGTGTCTGGCACTTGGCAAGAAATTGATGAGTATTTATTATAAGAAAGAAAAAAATAGAAGAAATGTTTAATGAGTAGACACAAGTGAGAGAGCGAATGCTGGTCCACTTGCACCAGGGTTTCTCTAGCCTTCACATCCGAGTATGACTTGGAGATGCAGAACGCACAGTGAGGTACTTCCAGACGGTGTGGGTTAGATGGCGGGATGAAGCCGAGCTTTTGTTAATTTCTATTTGGAGACCCATCTATAAACAGATGCTGTGGCCCAAAAGACTCAAAGCACCTCTGCGGTAAGCCTGTGTCCGAATGGCTCACATTCAGGATGAAACAGACTAAGCAGCTATCAAGTGCTTCTACACAGTTTCTCAGCAAGACCACGCGAGGATCTTTAATGCTGCGCGCTGTGATCGCGTTTGTCTTGGCAAATGGAGCTCCAGGCAGTCCGTCACCACCTGTTTCGCCACAACACGTGCTAATGCTTTTTCCTGACTCACGCTGGCTCACTGTTTCGTAAGAGGGGGCAGCTCCGTTTCTCTCCCTGTGTCACCACAGTAATTATTGAGAACAAAAATTTGAACAATGAGAACCTATAATTCTCTAGTAACATGCAAAAGTACTGTCGTTTACAACCAAATAATCTCCTGAGTATTGGGTAATGGAAACCATCATGTTCTACTCCAGCTTGCATGGCAAGTGTCAACCTCGGCTGTGAGTGCGATTAGAATCACACACTCACTCATTCACTCATTCAGCACATGCCAGTGACATGGCAGGCAGGGGACATTATGGAGTCTAGAGTCTGGCTTTTTCCCTCCCACACCTTGATTCAGGGAGAGGGCCTGCCAGAACAATGACTGCTTGATGCTGGGCTCTAGGGGAGTCATGACATATATCACAGACAGCCAAGAACATTCTGGCTACCATGTTCGAGGGGCCACAATATAGGGGTTTAAGTCTCAAATCAGAAACCTCCTATATATCCCACAGACACGATGCAGTGGGCTGCTCTGGGTCTGAACCCTAGGCCTGCCCCTGGCAAGCTGAATGGCCTGGACAGGTGTCTTCCCCTCTCAGAATCTCTACTGCAGGAAGTAAAACAGAAATAAGTTATGTCTCTTAGGTCACTCAGCAACAGAAAATAAGAGGGAGTGATGGATTTAGAAACTAAGGCAGATCTTAAGAATGGATATTCTCTGCTACTCCAGGCAAATTGGTATAACTCAAGGCATAGCACACGTTAAATGATAAGCATAAGCAGATAAGATTAGTTCCTCTTAAAATTAGCTCCAGACCCATGAAACAATTTCAAGAATATTACAGCCTTTCAAACTCTTTGTTGGGTAAACACACCGCAGTGGAGTCTAGAGAAGAAAGCAATGCACACACAAAATGTCCATCTACATTCAACAGCGACCACAGCTCTCGATACACGTGAACCCAGACACAAACAAGACTTACTTAACACAGTTTCTAGTTTTGTTGCTAAGAAACCACGACTGCCTGGTATGAGTGTGTGACCGCTCTCTGTCTTGAGTCAACTCATTATGCCAACAGAATTAGAGTGAACTTAACATTAGAGAATGGAATGTGGGATTACATTTTTCATAACCTATACAGCTAGTCTATTATTGTCCAGAGACCTAAAGAATATTTTCCAGAACATAGTGGAAGAACAGAGAGGTCAAGGAAGAATTGAGATTATATAGGAGGGAGGAAGGAAATATGACTTTTCACATGACAGTCCACAAGGGCCTACCAACTGGGCGGCAGCCATTCATCTTCTCTCCTTTTTCCCTTTCAAATACTGTGCTGTCATACTAGTCAAGCATGGACACCTAGGGATTGGTGCCACAATGGAAGTAGACCGGAAGAGTGAGAGCAATATTTCCACAGTTATGGTCATTGTTACCCTAAGCCACTCCTCTCTCCTGGTCATGGGAGAAAAAGTCTAGTGGGAACGTGGTGGCATTCTCCCCAGGAGTGAGAGGGTCAAAGGTGATTGGCGTCTCCTCCTAGTAGCCTGTCCCAGACGGCTGGGAACCCCTTAGCCTGTGGGTGGCTGCAGTTTCCCAGAATTCCACAATCACCCGGAAGCCCAGAAACACAGCCAGATGGTTTCTCTCTGTGCTTCTGGAGGACATTTTGTAAATCACTTCTCTTAGGAAAGCAAATGGTCTCAAGATAACTGCAAATTATTCACTCACTCCTTCAGCTGGATATAAGTTCCTTCACCCCATTTCACTGGACAATCAATTTTTTCAAAACATTGATGCAAGCGATGACACACCAGCACCGGAGAGAGCACGGGAGACAGATAAGTTAGCAAACGACAATTCAGTGTGGTCGGTAAGGCGATCAGTGTAAACACACAGAGCTCTGGGGCCCCAGATAAGACACCTATTCCTGAATGGGACAGGTGTGTGTGTGTCAGAGAAGGGATCCTTGAAGAGGTGACCTCTGAGGACCCGCAACTGTGGCTTCTTCACTTGAGAGCAGACACTTGGCCTCGGTCACCTTTGCATCTTCCCTCTGTCTAGCACAGAGCCTCACACTGGGCGGACGTGCAATAACCACGGCCTTGGACTGTCGCCTACTCAGGCGTCTCAGATGACCCCTGACCCTCCCAGCCATTGGTTTCACCTCTCTCTAGCTTGCTCATTCCTTGAGTCCTAGGGTAAGCTCATTTGTGCTTGTTTAGCTTTGATTTGACCATTTTATAAAAACCAAATCAAAGTCAGCTTCCAGGCTCTCATCACGTCTTGAAAGAGGAGCTCTTCCGCTCTGGGTCTAAGCAGAGCCTGGCTCTCCGGGCCCGTTCTAGGCATCAGTGCTCTGAAGCTCCCCAGACCAAGCCCTCCTTCTCAGCACCTGCAGGGGGTTCGGGCCAGTCAGGGGGCAGATGGCAGGGCTGTCGCTACCATCTCCATTGTCAAAGCAACACGGCTCCTCTCACAGCTGTGTGGGCACGCATAGATTTTGTTTGGGGCAGTAGTTTTCTAGAAAAATAATACAAGTGTCAGTTAAACTCATTAAGTCGGAAAAAGGAAAAAACACCTACTTGATGTGTTAGTTAAATTTCGAATGACAGCCCTTTGTAAAATACACCCGATGTTAGAAAGAAGACTTAGACACTGGCTGTTTAAAAGCCGCCTCTTATCAATACCTAATTTATAGAGCTACATCACGTGTCTTCTTCAAAGTCCTGTCTGTGGGGGTAAACTCTGTACCCTAGACGTTAATCTTCCTTAATCACTGTTTTCATTGTGTCACTTTTCTGCTGAAGAACTTGAGCTGATGCCTAAGTCCCACTGAAGCCAGTCCAAAGTCTCAGCCCTCATATTTTTTACTGCAAAGTCCCTCCCCACCTTGGCTTCCTGCTCTCCCCAGGACTGTTGCCTCTGCTTGTGCTCTAAACCGTGCTCATTCCTGCCTCCATACATTCGGTTATGCTCTTCTCCTGCCATGAATGTGCTTGCCCTTTCCTCCACTAATAGTAAAACACCTTGCCCTTCAAAGTTCAATGTGTGCCTGCTTTCCTCCTGGACTGTCTCGGATAACCGTAACCCTCCTGTCCTCCTCAGTCCGAATCCTCCATCGTTTATGCATATGGTCTGTTCCGGTCTTCTGCACTTCCACGTGTTTTGTGTCTCTGTTTCAGCGGTGGAAGGCAACATATATGACAGGAAGCTCACTGGATTTGGTTTGAGCCTCAGCTTTGTCACCTATTAGCTGTGTGAACTGGGGCAAGTTACTTAACTTCTCTGATTCCTCATCCATAAAAATTTTTTAAAAAGGACGATAATGTATACTTTGCAGGATTGTAGTGATTATTAGAGCTAATGGGCATAAGTGCACCTGGCATACAGGGAGCTTAGTAATGATGACCACCATTGGCATTAGTGATCTGCAAGGCTTCTTTCTTTTGGCCTGACCTTCTCAAAGGACGTGATTAAAGAGAGCTGGCTGGCTGCCGAGGGGGCAGGAGGACAGTGACTTCCTCCTGATCCCAGCCCTGTCTGAACATGCAAACTCCTCCCACCCGTCTCCTCCCCTCCTGCCCGCCACACACAAACTGCCACTCACCATTGTTGGCTCAAGAGAGAAACTGTGCATTTTGATCCAAGAATGTTGTTTTGTTCTCCTTTGTGCCTTGGTCTGGGTGTTTCACGTAAACATGTCCTCTTTAAGCCACTCCCTCTCCCCCCCGCAGGGCCCAGCTCAAATCCACCGCCTCCCTCTTCCTTTCAATCAAAACTTGCTTGGAGGGGCCACCCGGTGACGCAGCGGTTAAAAGTTGCACGTTCTGCTTCTCGGCGGCCCGGGGTTGGCTGGTTCAGATCCCGAGTGTGGACATGGCACTGCTTGGCAAAAGCCATGCTGTGGTAGGCATCCCACGCACGTATAAAGTAGAGTAAGATGGGCATGGATGTTAGCTCAGGGCTAGTCTTCCTCAGCAAAAAGAGGAGGCTTGGCAGCAGATGTTAGCTCAGGGCTAATCTTCCTCAAAAAAAAAAAAAAAAATGCTTGCTTGGAGTGCCTGTGAATCCTCACCTGGCTTTACGTGTCCTCTGCCCATGGCCCTGTGAGGAGTCATGGAGTTAAGCTGGGAAAAGCCCTTAGAATAATTCCTGGTCAGAATGAGCACTGTGGAAGTGTTGGCCTTTATTTTTGTCATCCTTGTCCTCCATCACGGACTGTGCTGGATGCCATCTGTCTGTCCATCTGTCCATTCGTCAGTTTTCCTCTCCAGACCCAGTCTCTGTCCACAGAGGCTGACTCCAAGGGACTGCAGGACCAGGCTCCTTGCCTCCAGCTTCCTGTTGGGCTCGGCTGATGAGGAACCCTGATGAGGGACGGGAGGAGAGAGGAGAGTGTTGTCAGGGGACTGTTTTGTCCCAGGGCCTTGCCTGTGGGCTGCTGAGGGCTAAGGCCACAGGAGGCCCCTCCACACAGCTTTACCCCTCTCCATGTTCCAACAGTGGCTCCCCCCCACACCCCCTCATGTTACCAGCCCTGAAATACTGCACAGTCTCTTTACTAAATTCTCCTGAAATTACCCAAATTGACTCTGTCATTTATTTCTTGCCAGGACCCTGCCTGAGACACCTGCTTTCTAAACGTTGTACATAATCACGTTTTGTTTGGCCAAATGTCATAGGTCAGTCGGGTTCCCTGAGGTTCTTCTGGATGCACTCTTTTAAAGACCATTTTAAATGTATATGTATTTTTAAGATCATTATTAGTCGGAATTTGAGAATTCATACTAATTTTAAATATTTAACCTTGAAGCTCCCTGAGAATATGTCAGGGACCCCTGGAACGTGGTGCATTCCTGGAGAATGCCATGTAGCGCCCTAAGGCAATGGGCCCTGGATGAGGAGATGAGGAGGAGGCCGCCCCATGAAGGCCCTGGCCTTCACAGCAGGGGTCCTTAGGAAGGGCTAGCTTCGGCCCCTCCTCAGAGCCGCAGTGCCCCTCAGAAAATGAAGGAGCTGCCCTTGTCAGCTGCACTGAGCAGCAGAAGGAACAAGGCACAACACCAGGGGTCTCTCTCCTGTGACTCTGGACAGGGGGGCAGGGGTGCACCAGAGGGAGCCCCATAGTACGACCGAGAGTCAGCCCGTTCCAGACCTTGATAATGGCATCTCCAAGCCAGATTTGATTTGTTTAAAAAAAACAAAGAAATGAGACATTTCTTGAACCTCATTTTTGTGGCAGAGACTGTCATCTCTCCCGTTTTGTAGGAAAGGCTCAAGACAATGGCTGCCTAGAACAAAGGCCTCACTTCCCTGATCCTCTGTGGTTAGACATGAGCAGAATTTCCAGGTCCTGCCCTTAAGGAAAGGGGCACGATGATAGGAATTTATCCTCACTCAGCTCTGCTCTGCATAGCCTCAGGGCCCACACTCCTTCTCTCCCTAGGACATTGCCTTCATCTGCAGGCTCTGAGTGGCCTTCCCGCTTACGTCTGCCTTCCCATGATCGTCAGGTTCAGCACGGGGCATGAAGGCAACCCTAAAGGGACAGCAGGAGGGGTTTTTTGGGGTGATGGATCTGTCCTATATCTTGATTATGGTGGGGGTTACACAAACCTATAAATGTGTTTAACTTCATAGTACTGTACACAAAAAGGGGAAAAAGTCAATTTTACTGCATAATTTAAAGAATAAAATTAATACACACACGTATGTATATGTGTATATGTCTGTGTGTGTATATAGATACACTATATAGAGAGAGTGCTTAGTTGTGTGCCTGATGCACAGAAAGTGCTGTAGAACGGTGCTACTCAATGTGTGGTCCACAGCCCAGCAGCCCACAATTATGGTAGGGTCCATGATGAGACAGGACCTCGTGTTAGAAGATACATCAACTACTTTGTTAAGCGCGCACTTTAGGCTGTAGCTGAATTTTCTTTTGCGTAGTAAGACTTTCTCACTGAAGTTAACAGTGTGTTGATTTCCGTTATGGTGAAGCTCCTTTCGTAGAAGCAGATGGGCGCTTTGAGAAGCACTGTGCTAGAAAGGGTAGCTATAGTAATATCTATGTCATTTACAGAAGAGCATTGTAGCAATGGTCACTGAAGGCAGAGACCACGGCATTGATCTCTGGGTGGCTGGTGCCGGGCACAGGACCCGGCTGGCAGATGGGAGATGTCGAATCAGGTTTGTTGGAGAAGAAAATGAGGACCTGAAGGAAGAATGACTTGCACACACAGCTCATCCACTCATTCGATGGATGAACCTTTCCTGAGGAGCAGACAAATGAACAACGCACTCTAATGCAAGGCATATGGAAAAGCCAGGTGAATAGCAGCCCAAGAAAGGAGCTCTGCACAGGGACCAAAAGGGGTGACGGTCACCTGTTGAAATGTGGGTCTTTCCCGATGCCAGAGGTTGTGCCTTTTTCCATGTGCAGAATGAGTCCTGCTCTCCGCGGCTGTACAGTCTGCTGTTTTAAACCCCGAGTCCCTTGTCCTGCTTAAGAAAACTCAGACAAGATCTGGCCCATGTCAAAGCAAAGGGATGAAGTGGGTGGAAAAAGCTGAGACTACAGTTCAGAAGCCAGTATCCTGGCCCCAATGCTGCCTGCAATAAGCTGGGCAGCCTCGGGCAGGTGTCCATCTCTAGGAGCCTCTGTTTCCCCAGCTGCCCAGAGGATGGACTGGGCTCTCAGACTCTCTCACCTCCAACCCTCCTACCCAACATTCTGAGATTCATTGGGGCTGAAACTGTCTCTCACTGATTGGACCTTTTCATTTTTCTTTTCCTGCCCAAGATCTGCAGCTCTGAGTATGTTGGTCCTTTGCCAAAGGCCAGCAAGCTTTAACCACAGAGAAAAGCATGTGTCCCTGCTGACAGGACATCCAGAAGCTGACCTCCTGGCCTTAACCTCCCCTTCCTCTTAAATTCTCTCTGTGCCCTCGGTACAGCCCATGGTTCCTGAGCAAAGAAATCCCTCATCTCGGCCATGGCAGAACTTCCGGCAGATTGCAGCAGCCTCTATTATTTCAATGTATAATTCATATGGCCCATTTCCACTACCAAGGACAGCCCACAAAACAAACTTGATCCCGCAGGGAAACGGGGAGCTCTGCCCTCTGAGATGTGTGTGTGCTCTCCCCCTACGGCCGCACACACCTTTTCCAAAGGCTTTCACTTTACTGGGGCACCTCACTAGGCCAGGAACAATGGGACCTCGGAATAATAGGACAGTCACCACAATTTCAAGGCTGCTCTCAAGGAGAGATGTGGGTGATGTTCAACACACAGGATGGTTTGCAGCACCTGCAGAGCTGTACCTGGCAGGCTGCAGTCCACAGCTACACGCAGCTACAACTTAGCAGTTGAGCAGCATGGTGAATCAGGCATCGGGTTCCTGATCAGGAGCCTGGTTCCATTTCCTTGATACGTTTCCTGCTTGCTACCCAGGAGGCTGCAAACATGTCATGCCAACTCTCTGGACTTCCGCCTCCTCAGCTGTAAAATATAAATGCACTAGCTCCTGCCCTGCCAACCTCACTGGGTTGTGACAAGGATCAAGAGCAATAATACGTGTAGAAGTTCTTCATAAAACACTATATACTGTGGCTACTCAAAGTCTGGTCCATGGACCAGCAGCATCAGCATCATCTGGGAGCTTGTTAGAAATGCAGAATCCTAGGCCCCTCTCCAGACCAAGATGCCCAGCGATTTGTTTGAGAAGCATTGTGATATGCATACATAAGTGTGCTATGGGGGCAGAGGGGAGGAGAATGTGCAGTTTGGAGGCTGGAGCTCTTAGTTCAAATTCGTCTCTGCCACTGACTGCCTTGTGGCCTTCGGAGCGCTGCTGGGGCCTTGTTTCCTCAACTAGAGAACAGTGTCACACTGCTGCTGTACGAGAATGTGAGATGAAGCCATCAGGCAGAGGGCAGAGCGGCAGGGACCCTTTCCTGGAGGGGTGAAAGGGAAGTAAGGGGTCAGGGAAGGACTCTGTAGCCAGATGGGAAATGGAGAAGATAAAATGATGGAGGAGAGCAGGAAATAGACCAGTGCTTCCTTCTGCCTGCCCTGTGTCACCTCCACCCCGTCTCTTGCCCAGTCACCAAACCCTCCTGACATGGACTCTCAAGTCAGCTGCTGACCAAAGGCAGCTGAAGAGTGGACAGCTCCTGCTTGGTTTGCAGATATCCAAAGACGACAACCAACGCAGATGGAAAGAAAAGGACCAGGGCTCGGGGCTATGAGGGTTCCCCGTTCCTCCAGGAGGGCTGGAGGGGTTTCGGACTATTCCCAGACCACAGAGCATCCCATGTATCCATGTACGGTACCTGGGGACCCAAGACTGAAGTTGGCAAGTGAATGGGAGAACCACAGAGCAGCTCCATCCTCCAGTTGCAAAGGGGGCAGCTGAGGAGGTCCTGCAGGCTGTCTCAGAGACTCTGCCTGCACATTTAATGAGTGACATTCTTATTACACTGGATTTTCTATTAAGCAAGCTTCTTGATATAACTTGAAGGTGAGGGTACTTGACCTGTGTTTCAAAATTTTCCAGCAATGCTGGGAAATGGACTGCGTCACACTCGACAAAATTCCATTCAAGTAATTACCCAGGGAGAGGTATTATAATTGCACAGATGTAAGTGCTCCATTTCGTGGGTTTAAAAATACCAACTTTGCAGGGCTGTGGTAAGCATTAAATGAGATAACGTGTGGACAGCTCTTGGCACAGACTCCTTATTAGTCTTTTCCCTGCAGTCTTGCAGATGAATTGAAAGCTGTGCTCTGGCCCAGGGGCTTGTCCTTGGCCTCAGCCCTGGCAGCTGCATTCTAATGGCTCTGCTAATCGATGTTGCAAGTCCAC